TTAATAAAAAGTTAAGTTTAGGAAATTTGGGTCACATCGATTAACATTTCGACCATAGCATATATAGGAGTTATGATGAAAAGCAAACCCTTACATAGAGAGAAAGTCCAAATTTAAATTTTTTAGTAGACGGAAATTGAAAAATAATAAAATTTTAGGAAACCAATAAAGTTTGCTAAATTTGGATCACACCAGGTTATATTTCGGATATACTCCAGCGTTCGAACCATCATAAAAAATATGCCTTTGCATGAAAATAACGTGCAATTTATAGTGTATTATTTACAACACGAATTCTAAGCGGAGTGGTATAGGGTATCTAATGGTCGGCCTTGCCTGACTATAAAGTTTTTACTTGTTGTTTACATCAAACATTTTCAATATCATCAAAATTTTATAAGCCGAACCGAAGATAACGCAGAAAACGTTATTGCTAGCTATACGTATGATGTCAAAAACCAAAAAAAAAAAAACATTAATATATAAAAGAAGAGAGAAAAAAGAAAGTGAAAAGAAATACATTTTGCATACCGTGCTCAAGCAATGAAGAATAAATCAAGCTTTTTATGGCGCCCAAAAGCATTTACCATAAAACACTACAGCAGCAAGCGTGGATACGAACCACAAGTTTGCCCCTTAGTTGACTTTTAAGGAAAAGCTAGTCGAGATTAAAACAATCGAAACAAACAACTCGTTGACAAACATATGCCCAGCTTATATGTCTCGAACAAACTAACAGCTATATTAGAAAGCTATAATGCATTATATATATATACATTATATATATATATGTATGTTTCAGAAAAGAGCATAAACAGCCAGTGAAAGCGGGCATCCTTTGAAGCGTTTGAAGCGTCGTACAGTTCAAGCTCGAAAAGAAGCTGCTGACATTTAAAGCAAAACCCAAAGGAATATTAACAACGCCAAGCGTAACAACTAAGCAACTTATATAATAAATAAAATCTTCTGTACCCTTCTACGTCCTTCTTTTCACTGCTTTTTGCTTTTGAAAATAGAGATGCTCTGCATCAAAGAAGTGCGTAAAGAAATGGGATTTGGTCCATCTTCATTGCGAGCCTGCCTGCAAAGACGTATAAAAACGTTCTGATAAATTTGAAACGAATATCTTTATTGCTATTGTTTTATTGCTATCAGTCGAATGTCGACCAGAGGGGGGTTGACATGCAGCTTTAGATTGATTCAGAAGGAGAATATATATATTTTATGGAAGCTCTTAAGTCTCTATCTAGGAGTTGCAAACGTTTTAACAAGAAGAGTATACCATCTTTCAGTGGTGAGTGTAAAACTAAATATTAATTGATTCCTGTTAATTGAGACAAGAGGGTGCCTAACGTGCATACAGATATCTACTCAAGAACTACTTCACAGCGCACTTGAGCCCATAAGTTTGTGGGATTAAAGCGCAGCTTTATCTGTTCGGAGAAATTTCTAAAAATTATCTAAAATTCCGCTTGTCCTCTTAAACGTCTATTATCTATATATGGCTGTGGCCATAAAACACTTTCGAATGTAAAATAATTTTTATAACAAAGCGAGCAAGTACGCGCTTCGCTGGGCCCATTTACCGTGGATAGTAGACATGTAACAAAAGAAAATAATGTGGCTTCTTCTATTTAATATTTAGTAAAGGCAGTCAATGAACAGAAGGTGATCGATCCATCAAGGGTGAGCATACTATTGAATGCTCATTTCATTCGAGCATAATCCGTGCACGTTGAATCCTAGAGGCACATTCGAACTTAAGTTTTCTGATTATTTCATATTCCATTTTCACAATTTTTTTATTTGCTTTTGGTTTAAAGTAAGAGATGACATCACAGGAAAAGATATTTGTAAGTGTAGCCATGTAGCCATGATTTCAAAACTAAACCTTTTCGTTTTTCTAGCAAATCTTACCAGGATGAGCCTAACAGTGTCAGAGTCAGAAAGAAGAAACCCGCTACCTTGGATAGTAAGCAAAACATTTGATAATTCTTTTACAGGCCGTGAGCTGAACCAAAGCTTAGGTAGAATTGTAATGCCTGGGCAATGTCTGTTGTGAACATTTTCAAAGTCGGCAGGAACGTTGGAGGTTCACAGCAGAAATCTACAACATGCAACATATGCTGAGGACGCAGATGCTTCCTGATGCTTTTCAGCCAGTCCCGCCCATCCAACATGTAGGAAAATTTTGTATTTTTGTTGTTATTTAATTTTTTTTTTTTTTTTTGAGGATAAAGGTGATGGCTTTTAGATTAGAGATTATGTCACAGCCAGATATAATTTGCTTTTTTGTTTTATTTTTTTTTTTTTTTTTTTGCATAATTCGTGTTTTATGTTCATATATATAGCTTATGCCTGGATAAATAAATGCTTATAAACTATAAACGACTTCCTGTCCAAGTTACGGGATTCCTTTTTGCCTGTGAAGCGGTGAAGCTGATAAAGATATAGTTCGAGCACAGGTTAGAATTAAAGTTTACGGATATGTAAAAGTGCAGCCAACATCAAAGTAAAAAAATTTGCGACTGGCCTCATATTCAGATAAAAATTAGCTATGACCATAATCGGTCTACCATAGCTAAAGGGAGAAGCAATCTTGCAATAAAATGAAAAAAATGTTTCAAATTTATTGTCACCGATCGCTTACGGGTTTGTTTCCGAAATCAAGAAGAAAAAAAAAAAAAAATGATCAAAAACTAACAAAATATTTTGTATGAATAGCGTTCAAACTTAATCTTCCATTTTTTTGAGGTAATTAAAAAAACTTGCTATCATCTTCCCGACGGTATCACTTGTTAGGGAACTTTTTTTCTTTTTGTTTTCATAACAATTAAATCGCGAAGGTAGGAAAGTATTCGCTCCCTAATTTATTTATTTATTTTTATTTTTTTTGTGTTTTTTTATTTTTCGTTTATATTGACACCTTTAAATTCTTATCGAATTTAAAGAAAAAAAAAAAAATCTTATTTTCACTCACTTCAGATTCCTTCTCGTTTGATAACATGATTATTTTCAATTTTTCGATTTTTTCCGATAAATATAATGAAAAAATCAATACAAGTCATTAATTGACTACAACAAAGGCATAATAAATACTAACGTTCCGTACTGTTTGGCGATTAAATTGAACACGAACTAACAAAAACAAAACGTAACCCTCTCTAAAGACTGACATATTTTTTTTTTTTTTTTTCTGTACGATATGCATAACTATTGACAATATGGCGGTGAATGCCGGATTGTAAGCATTTAAGAAAAAGAACATAAAAAAAAAGAGCCTCTAACTAAACAAACAAACGGTTGAGGTACAGAACAAAATGTACAAAAATATTTTTTCAATTGAATTAATTATTAAATTAATAATTAATTAATTAATAAATACATTGTAATGCATTGGGACAATATGCGATATACGAAAATTAAGTCAATAATTATTTATCTCGAGTTAAATAATAAACAATATCGAGAAATGTTTTAACAGTTTCGGCGGGGCAGGCTTTAAGAATGAGTTTCACTCGTCGCACTTACGAAGAAAATGTCAATGCTGTAAATGGAAATCGACGATTTCGGCGATTCGATGGCAAAAATCTTCGGAATAAATGAGCAAAACTTGAATTATTGTAATACACAGTAACTATGTATGTACGTCTGTCCACTGAGTATTTGATTATTTTATTAAATAGTGGGATTTGCTTTGCTTACTTGTTCATTTAAATTTTCACACATTTCCAAGCTGATGCCGTTCATTTTGTTTTCCGCTAGCGCTGCTGTTGCTGGCGACTTCTCTTCGTAATCACAGATTAATTTGTTTTTAAAATTCTTCAAGTTTTCTAATTTAAAACCGTTGGTATTTGTATTATTCGTTTTCTTTGTTATTTTGTTTGTCAAACTTTCCAAATTTAATAATTTATTATTATTATTACTATTATTATTATTATTATTATTGCTATTATTATTATTATTATTATTA